CAGACTGCATACCACTGCGCGCATCCTCAGCCTAGCCCTTGTGGCAGGCTTTTTATGTGGGATCATTTGTGCAGGTCACAAAAGCAGACTTGCCCTTAATTGGGTTAAGTGCTTTGGTGCTTTGTGACAGGTCACTCTATCCACTACTGAGGCAGAATACATTGCAGCAGTGCATGCGAGACAAATTATGATGTGGATCAAAAAGTTCATGAGTGATATATTCCTGTCTCTCTTCCTGCAATGTTCGATACCACTGGCTTCATGAAGCCATTTGACAGAAGCAGATCCAGATCAGTTATATTCCTGGCACTGAGAACCCTGCTGACATTTTCACCAAGGCACTTCCTCAGCCAGCTCTTCACAAGCACCTTGAGTTTCTTGGACTCATGGATTAGAGGTTTTTCTTTTTTTCTTTTTCTTTATCTTTATTTTTCCTTTTCATTCTTCTTTCATTTTTCTCTTTCATCCTCTTCAGTGTCATGGCCTAGGGGAAGTGTTAGAGTGCAGCTGCTTCAGGGCAATGGGGGAGAATGGGGAGCCCAGACTTGACAGCATGAACACATAATCAATATGTAGGTACAGGGTGATATATCTAGGTAGTAACACCTCAGTCGAGTACAATCATGTACAGCATGACTGAGGTGAGTAGAGTACTTTCTTCACTTCAGACAGACATGGACTAATAGTACTGTATCATTCAGCTATCACATACTTCACAGATACAGTGAATATAATATATAGTCGAGTACGATCATGTACAGTGTGACTGAGCTATCATATACTTCACAGTAGGCGTAAGGGCCATGTAGTTGACAAAACTCATGTGATCCATAAAGCAGTGATGAGTGGCACCAGTGTTCACATAGGTCCACAGTATTCTGTTGCTAATAGGCTTAATGTGAGGTAGATTGACAAGGTGAGTGCTGGCCAGGAAGATATGGTAATCATAGTCTGACATACGCCCAGTACCAGCTTTCGTCGAGCATGCAGTCACTGTGGTGAGATGAGCCTGTGGTGAAATTTGAGAGCTGGGTGTTATAGCTCCAGATTTCACCACCATTGATGTCACTGCTGTCTTTCTTGGCTGCTAATGCCTTCACTGCAGGTGAACCTTTCTTAGGAACTGGCTTTGTCCAACCCGATGGCTGCTGACCCTCTCATCCTCCATCCTCACAGAAGCAGTTCAATTGTAGGTGGTCCTTTGCACTGCACCACTCACATATAAGCATGGCCTTTGCATGTGTCATAAATGCACTGGTAGTCAGCACTGTGACTTGGTTGGTGCCCATTGGATTAAGCAGGTTACTGGCCTGTATGTGGTCATTCTTGAAGATCACAAGAATCAATTTCATAATGACATCTGGATCAGTTTGCAGGAGGAGCGAGGTACACGTGGATTGGAGGGATGGAAGATTTTACACCACCTTACACATGATGCTTGCAAATCTAGTGGTGTCAAACACGGATCTTAGGTCATGCACGGTGCACTAGCAGTGGCATAGCTCCATGAAATGGTCCTGGAGATCAGTTTCTTCAGTCTAAATGCATGCTTTGAGATAATCCTCAGCATTCGTGATTGTTAATGCCATATTTTGCTCTCACTTTTGCACTAAGGCTATTCATACCTCATGTGCAGTCTTCCCTTCATCCTCTATGCCAGTGCTTATGAAGTCCATGATGTTCAGTATAATGACAACCTTCAAAAATTGGTCATGCTTGTCTCACTGCTGCTGCTCTGCTATGGCAAGTGCAATGTCACCTGGATCTGCACCTAAGGGTGCTGGAGGTGGTCATGTAAGTGTTCCAGTAAGGTGCACATATAGTTGTCAAATACAAATTATGGTGATAATCTTGCCTTTCCAGTCAAACCAGTTGACTTTGCCTAGCTGCTGGCTCTCTGGAAGAATAGGCATCTTCACGTCGATGGTGGCTGCCATGATGGGATACTGGTACAAATATTGATGTAAATACTGCTAATATTGATAATTGTTCATGAATATTGACGAATGGATGCCTGATCTGACATTTTATATGGCTTTATGCACTTCTTGGTGCTCATAACCTGTTACAATTGCAGTGCTAGTCTCAGCTGTGCTGTATGTCGATATACTCAACTGTATTTGTACTATATCTGTTACAATAGCAGTGCTAGTCTACATGGTACAGTCAGTACTAGTCCGATAAGTGAAGGAAGGCATGTCCAAATACTCACCTCAGATGTGCCATACATCAATGTACTCGACTGAGGTATTACCTATGAGAAATGCATCTCTATGTACATGCACATCGATCATGTGACCATGCTGTTAAACCTGTTAATCTGTTTCTCCCCCATTCTCCCCATAGTCTCTGAGCAGTCTACTCTCAACAAACACAGATTAGACATAGAGAACAGGGCTAACTGCATGACTATTGCAATACAGCAGTGGTTAACTGCTATCACAAACTTAGGACGCAAAGCGCCGACTAAGCCTATGACCTTATAATCAAACACTTACTGACTGTTGTCGAAGTAAGGATGGACACAAAGA